CACCCACCACAACACCTGGCCATTTTTGGTTGCAGCCATCATTGTTGTTTGGCGGGCCCAGGCTGGGGATTCGAACCCGCAACCTTAGGTGTATGTGGCTGGCGCCTTAGCCGCTTGAGCCACAGGCGCCGAGCCTACAGTTCTACTCTTAACAGAGAACAGGCTATCTATAAATTTTCAGAGCCTGACAGTAAATGTTGTAGGTTCTGTGGATCACAGATTTTGTTGCCACTATAATGTGACAACAGCCATAAGCAATATGGAAACAAACGAGTATGGTTGTGTACCAATAAAATTTTATTTATGGATGCTGAAATTTGAATTTCATGTAATTTACACACATCCTTAAACATTCTTCTCCACCCCCAAACCATTTAAAAACATCAAAGCCATTCTTACATCATGGGCTGTGCAAAATGGACACCAAGCTGGGTATGACTGGGGATCATAGTTTGCTACTCTTTAAAGTATGACAGAACAAAAAAAAGTAATAGTTTCGTAAGTCAATAAATAAAATACAGAAATCTTTCCATAGTACATTTTATAGTCCTCAAATATAAAGTTATGCATTTACACTCATAATCAGGTTTGAGTTCTAGCTGATCTTATCAAGTATATATATTTTCAATGGACATTTTCATAAATCTTGAGTGGAAGAAAACTTAGCTTAACTCAATTCTAATTCATACAGAAAATAAAACTATCTAATTCATCCTCTTTTACCTTCTCTCCTACAACTCCTTATTTCAGATCAGTCATTCCCCCAGATTACTTTTATAAACTTTTAACTGTGTTTCCAACTTTTAATTTTTCCTAATAAATACATCCTTCACTCTGTAGCCACAATACTATTTCTAAAATTTGAGTCTACCCACACCTGCAATCCTAGCAGGAAAGCTAAGGTGGGAGAATTGTTTAAACTCAAAAATTCAAGACCAGCCTGAGCAAGAGGGAGACTCTGTTGCTACTAAAAATAGAAAAACTAGTCAGGTGTTGTGGTGCATATCTGTAGTCCCAGCTATTTGGGAGGCTGGGGATTGCTTGAACCCAGGAATTTGAGGTTGCTGTATACTAGACTGACATGCTGACACTCTAGCCTGGGACAACACAGTGAGAGTCTGTCTCCAAAAAATTAAGTTGAATAAATTAATAAATACAATTTAAGTCTGTAAATGTTGACATACACCACATCTACCTACTTTGAAAGTACTATAATCCTTTTCCCAAGGCTCTAGTATAAAGTCTCAATCCTCTTTCATCCCTTGGCTCCTCCTTTTCCTATTTTCAAACTCACTGGACATACAAAATTTATATAATTTGGCCTCAAACAAGGATTTCTATAAGCTCTACTGAGAATAATTAGATGGTTCAGATTTCTTCAACTCAATGTTTTTACTGTGAACTTTTGTCATTTCTAGTAAATCAAGATAGCTAATAAAAGGAAATAAAATCCCAACCAACTTAAAGAAGAAAGACAAATTATTAGGAAAAGTAATTATATAAAATTTATTTTGCAGGCTCAGCACCCGTAGCAGAGTGGTTATGGTGCCAGCCACATACACTGAGGCTGGCAGGTTCAAACCCAGCCTGGGCCTGCCAAACAACAATGACAACTGCAACCAAAAAAATAGTCAGGCACTGTGGCAGGTGCCTGTAGTCCCAGCTACTCAGGAGGCTAAGGCAAGAGAATTGTTTAAGCCCAAGAGTTTGAGGCTGCTGTGAGCTTTGATGCCACTGCACCCTATTGAGGGTAACATCACTGAGACTCTGTCTAAAAAAAAAAAAAAAAAAAAAAAACTGCAATTATTCCTATAAGTATCAAAAAAAACTTTTACTGCTTATTTCACTGAATAAGGTGATAACTGTATGTTCATTTCTCTCATATACATTGTCTGTTTAATTATAACGGGAGTAGAATATAATATAAAGTGATGGTCTCTTTCTTCTCATTAGAGAATTGTTCCAGAAGCTAACTTCTTCAGAGTCTTACAGTTTTGTTTTTCAGCTTTAACCCCCAAATTCTGTTGACTAAGCTAAGAATCAGCCATTTTTCTCAATTATCTTCTCATTAGACTTTACCAAACCAAAATTCAAAATTCAGTAAGAATAATAGCTAGGGAATAATATTTCAGAGTACTTTAAATAAATATCCCAGCTATTCAAGTTTGGTATTATATCATCTACTACCACATACCATGTCAACAACAAAAAAACAACAGTATGTGGATCATCAGTAGCATCTGACCAAAATCCTATATAACCTTTCATAATAAAAAAACACTCAACAAGCTAAGAACAGAAGGGATCTTCCTGAACATGATAAAGGGAATTTATGAAGCATCCCTCAAAGACTGGTTGCTTTCCTCCTGAGATCAAGAACACAATAAACATGTCTGCTTTCATCATCTCTATGTAATACTGTGCTGGAAATTCTAGCCAGGGCAGCAAGGCAAAAAAATACAACAGAACAAAAGAATGATGACAACAACAACAAAACTCCATTCACCAATGATAAGATCTTATACAGAGAAAGATTCCTAAAGAATCAACAAAGAAACAAATTTAAGATTAGTACACAAAAATCAATACTATTTTTAATCAATCCAAAATGGAAATAAAGAAAACAATTGCATTTACAATACACACAAAAAATAACATTACTTAGGAATAAATTTAACAAAAGTATAAAACACTTTGAAAACTATAAAACATGACTGAAATAAATTAAAGATTTAAATAAATGGAAAAACATCCATTGTTCATGTATCAAAATACTATGACACAGGTGAGATGGCAATGTTCCCCAAATTAATCTATAGATTCAATGCAATACCAACCAGGATCACAGCTGACTTGTCTACAGAAATTAATAAGCTGGTTCTAGAACCTATATGGAATTACCAAGGGCCTAGAACAGCCAGAACAATCTTGAAGAAAAAAATAAAGGAGGATTCATACTTACCAACTTTAAAATCTTACAAGCGATAGTAATCAAGACATAGAATTGTAAGTCCAGAAATAAATCCATGTCATACGGCCAATTTATTTTCAGCAAAAATGCCAAGACTATTTAAAGGGGAAAGAACTGCTTTCTCAAGAAACGGTGCTGGGACAAAAGAATAACCACCACAAGCAAAAGGATAAAGTTCTCTGCTCACATCATACAGAAAAATTAACTCAAAATGATCCAAAGACCTAATCAAGAGCTAACAGTATAAAATTCTTAAACAAGAAAACACAGGAGTCAATCTTAGTAAAGACAAGCTCCCCACAAAAGATATTAATTAGATTTATCAAAATTAAAACCTTTTTGAGTCCAGGAGTGGTGGTTCACATCTGTAATCCCAGCATTTTGGGAAGCCAACGTGGAAAGATTGCTTGAGGCCCAGAGTTCAAGGCCAGCCAGGGCAACATAAGGACACACCATCTTTACAAAATATAAGGAAAATAAGCTGGGCATGGTGGTGTGTGCCTATAGTTCCAATTTTACTTGGGAGGCTGAAGTAGGAGGTTTGAGGGAAGACTGAGTAACATAGCAAGACTCCTGTCTTAAAAAATAGAATAGATGGCTGGGCGCCTGTGGCTCAAGCGGCTAAGGCATCAGCCACATACACCTGAGCTGGCGGGTTTGAATCCAGCCTGGGCCCACCAAACAACAATGACAGCTACAACCAAAAAATAGCCAGGTGTTGTGGCAGGCGCCTGTGGTCCAAGCTACTTGGGAGGCTGAGGCAGGAGACTCGCTTGAGCCCAGGAGTTGGAGGTTGCTGTGAGCTGTGATGCCAGGGCATTCTATCCAGGGGGACAGCTTGAGGCTCTGTCTCAAAAAAAAAAAAAAAAGAATAAAATAAAATAAAATATTTAAAAATTAAAAATTAGCTGAATGTGGTGGAATGCAACTATAATCCTAGTGACCCGAGAGGCTGAGGTGGGAGGATTTCTTGAGCCCAAGAGTTTGAGGCTACAGTGAGCTACAATTGTGCCACTGTTAATTTAGCCTGGGCAACAGAGCCACAACCATGTCAGGAAAGGAAATGGAAAAGGAAAAAGGAAGAAGGGAAGGGGAGAGGAAGGGAGAGGAGGGGAGAAGAGGGGAGAGGAGGGGGGCAGAGAGGAGGAAAAGGAATGGAAGGGAAGGAGAGCGCTCAGTTTGGCAGCACATACACTAAAATTGGAATGATACAAAGAAGATTAGCATGGCCCCTGTGCAAGGATGACATGCAAATTTGCAAAGTGTTCCATATTTTTATCCTGTAATTCCTCTACTAGGTGTATATCCAAAAGACCACGAATCACTTTATAACAAAGATATTTGTACCAGAATGTTTATTGCAGCCCAATTCATAATTGCTAGGTCATGGAAGAAGACCAAGTGCCCATCAACCCATAAATGGATCAATAAACTGTGGTATATGTACACCATGGAATACTATGGAGCCCTAAAGGAGGATGGAGACTTTTCCTCTTTCATGTTTACATGGATGGAGCTGGAAAATATTCTTCTTAGCAAAGTATCTCAAAAATAGAAGAGAAAGTATCCAATGTACTCAGTCCTACTACAAAACTAATTTATAGCTTTCATAAGAAAGCTATAATCCAATTATGGCCCAAGAATACAGGAGAAGGGGAGAGGGAAGGGAAAGGAGGAGGGAGGATGATTGGTGGGATCACGTCTATGGTTCATCTTTTAAGAGTACATGTGGGCTCGGCGCCTGTGGCTCAAGCAGCTAAGGCGCCAGCCACATACACCTAAGGTGGCGGGTTCAAATCTCCAGCCCGGGCCCGCCAAACAACAATGATGGCTGCAACCAAAAAAAAAAAAAAAAAAAAAAATGGCCGGGCGTTGTGGGGGGCACCTATAGTCCCAGCTACTTGGGAGGCTAAGGCAGGAGACTGCTTGAGCCCAGGAGTTGGAGGTTGCTGTGAGCTGTGATGCCATAGCACTCTACCCAGGGGGATAGCTTGAGGCTCTGTCTCAAAAAAAAAAAAAAAAAAGAAGAGTACATGTGAATCTTTCTAAATGAAGAATATAAATGTCTTAACACACTAACTAAAAAATAAAAATAAAAAAATTAAAAAAAAATTTTAAACGTAAAATTCTTAAAATACACCCCAACAAATTTTAGAATTCTATTGAAAGAATGTATTACAGATTCATTAAACTTTAAAAAATTAAAAAAAAAATTTAAAATGTAAAAATTCTATTCTATTCTATTGAAACAATGTATTACAGACTCGTTAAACTTAAAAAAGCTAGTTACTGATACTATCCTTCCAAACTTGTGGCAAAAACACTTAAGTCAAACCATTCTGAAGCATTAATAATCTATTGAGATAGGTGACATTTCAGAGATCACTGTACATCTTTTACTGTTTAACAACATCACTCACATAGCATGTTGATCTCTAAATTGACTTTGACACATAAACTTTGGTTAAATTTTCTTAACTTGAAATCTATTAACTTATATTTCCTCCCTCATTACTTGGTTACTTATTTTAATTAAAATAAAGCATTTGTATCTAGTCATACATTTTAGGCAAAAAGAATGAAAGACTGACTTCACTGTACCACAGCAATAAACCTAGTTCAGTTTTTCAACTTTTGTCTTACCTCATTTGTTCTAGACATGAACCTTGTTACAGCCATACAAAGTTATCAACTTTCCTCAAACAAGTGAAGGTAAGCTTCACGTGAGGTACATTAGCCTTGGTATATGTTCAAAACATAGAAATATTCATGAATAAATAGATGATACTTGTCCACGGGAAAGGGCACCAAATAAATTTAATTTTTCTCCTATGAAGCCTACCCCGATAATTTACCATACTTGATTCTTCAAACCCCAGTACACAGAATTCAGAATATAGTCAACTAAGTACTAATAAAGTGATCTAAGCTATTGTAGTTTGTCTTAAGAAATAAGGCAGATAACAATTTGCTCTTTTCTACTTACAGACACAAGTGCAAACAATGGATGCACTGTTTACATGATAGTGTTTCTCAACGTTATAAAGAAATTCTGGAGGCTTGGTGCTATGTATGGGGCACAATGAAAGTTTTGAGACAGACTGTGTAATGTTCCATTTTTCACTTCCAAGAAACACAATTGATGGCATCCTTTCTGATTCACTTGTGCAGGTTTCAACTTGCTGGGCTTACTGGTTTTGTTGGGAGGGCTTCATTTGTTTCTAACTACACATTTCTTGATTTCTGTGTATCTCAAAACTTTCATAATGACACATGTACTACAATTACTATTATTTTCTAATCAGTGCAAAGCTCCATAGATGTTACTTTAAGCCTTTATCATCCTTAAAGGCCATCTTTCATTCCATACCCCTGAGAAGATGATTTAACTCATCTTTCACCAAAAATAACCAAGGGCTACTACTAGCATCAGTTCCAGCTATCTATAAGGAGTAACAATGTCTCTTTTACAGAGAACAAAAAACAGAGAAATCAAGTGAGTTGCTCAAGATAACAATAAACAGAACAAGAATGTAAACCTAAGTCTTTGCCTCCAAAATCCATCATAATACTCTATCTCATTTCAGGAAAAAGCCTTCCCTATTAAGGCTTACCATTCATTACACCATGCTTGTAAACCCATTGAATCCTGGATATCACTCCATCCATTATCTACCTACCTATCCCTCCACCTTCCCCCATCCCTATTTCAACCTAACTCTCCCTTCCCCTTGCTCCTTCCAAAAGCCTATAAACAAACAAGGGCTCTTTTCACCTTTAAAAGAATGTAAGAGTGGCAAAAACTCTTATCAGGAGTCACAAGTTCTCCTCTTAATTACTGACCTATAATAAGAGATCAGATTTGCTCTGTAATAAGAGACCAGATTTGGAGTAGAGAAAACTAATTAGTGATTCATTTGTCCCTCCCTTCAAAACACAAGACAACAGATACACCCACTTCAATTATACTATAGTATTTGGTACCCCAGTACTCATGTACCACCTATTCTAGCTTTATTGAATGGCCTCTTACTCTTATTCCCTTATCTCACTTTTTGATAGTTCATACAACAGCTTTTTGTGAAATCTTCCCTAATCTGTAAGTGTTAAACATTGTTACCCCACTGTTCTTAGTGCTTTTCTATTAAAATACTCAACATGTTATATAATTACAATTGTTTGCTTATAAATTTATGTTCTATACTAGAGCTAGTGAAAACAGGGACTACATATTTGTTATTTACCTTTACCTAGTGTCAAGCTCTGGGCATGGTACATAGCAGGGATTCAGGAAATGTCTGATCTATTCCACTAGGACTTATTTTTTACTTGGGATAGCAATACAGTGAAAGATGACTTTGTACAGAAATTTTGTAAAGATTAATATTAAAGAAGTAAAAAATCTAAAGCAATAAGAATTTAAAAAGTACTATTAATCCAATTTATGGTCTTATAGATAAGGTACTGTATATAGAACATGCAAATGGGTAGGAATAAAGGAAAGAATATGACATAGCACAAAACAATAAACGGAATGGGTCTAACCAAAAACAAATTATTTAGATAAAGAAGAACAATATCAAAAGATAATAAAACATTAAGAATTTGGCTGGATGCGGTGGCTCATGCCTGGAATCACAGCATTCTGGGAAGCTGAGGCAGGTGGACTGCCTACCTTCATGGACTTGAGACCAGCCTGAGCTAGAGTGAGATAAGCTCCTAATGCCAGGAAAAGAGAGCAAGAAATTCAAACAGGTTCAGTGAAATGAAGAAACAAATTCATAATATAAATTAATTCTAGAAGACAGAGCAAGACATGAAAATGTACGAAGTAAGAAAGATGTGAAATCAGAGTCCTGGCAATGGGAATGAAGAAAGCTTTCACCTAACAAGTATTCTTGAAGAAAGAACCTGATAAACTGGAATTAGTGAACAAAGAGTTAGATATACCTCCAGGTCTCAACAATTTTAAATAAAATAAAGGAGGAAATCATCCAATAGCCTGTCCTACTTTCAAAGGAAAAAACCTGAGAAAATGTAAATTACTGTGCAATCGAGTAAGAAAGAGGAATAAGAGACCTAAACTGGGAATAAAGATACAGAATTCTGAGAAGCGAAGCAGATGAGCTTTTTTTCTTTTCCATCACAAAATTAAAGAGGCTTCAAATTTAATAACAATAACATTTAAGATAAGGACTAGAAACAAAAACCTGGTAAAGAATGAAAGAAGAGAAACACATTAGGAAAAGAAATCAGATGACTGCTGCAATGAAATATTGAGCAATAATGCAAAAAAAGTAACATTCACATTGTCAGATAAAAGTATGTCTGTCACAGAATACTTTGACTCTGAGGTTCAGTATGGAGTCATCAGTTAACTTTTTTTCCCCCAAAGTCTCAAAACATAGACAACTAATATTTATAAATAAAAATAGAAGATAATTTCAAAAAACAGATCATACCAAATCTTATAGACAATAGACAAAGAAAAAATACTTCAAAATCATTCTACTTGAGCTTTCTAAGTGGCTAACTATAGAGTAACAATTAAGATACTTATTAGAATTACCTCAAGGCATAAGGAATTACATTTTTTCCTGCCCCCATTCAGCCCAAATAGAGAACCACTACTTCATGGATTAGAACCATATAGCATATTAGAACCTAGGTTGAGATGGGATGGGTGGGTATTGAAAAGAAATTGATAAATCTGGCTCGGCGCCTGTGGCTCAAGCAGCTAGGGCGCCAGCCACATACACGTAAGGTGGCAGGTTCGAATCCAGCCCGGACCCGCCAAACAACAATAATGGCTGCAACCAAAAAATAGCCGGGCATTGTGGCGGGCGCCTGTGGTCCCAGCTACTTGGGAGGCGGAGGCAGGAGACTCGCTTGAGCCCAGGAGTTGGAGGTTGCTGTGAGCAGTGAAGCCATAGCACTCTACCCAGGGGGACAGCTTGAGGCTCCATCTCAAAAAACAAAGAAAAAGAAATTGATAAATCTTGGGTGGTGCCTGTGGCTCAAAGGAGTAGGGCGCCAGCCTCATACACTGGAGGTGGCAGGTTCAAACCCATCCCCAGACAAAAACTGCAAAAATAAATAAATAAATAAAATTGATAAAATTAACAGTAAGGTCTCAGGACAGAGGCTTGTAGAAACATACACTCAGTAATAATAAAAGATAAAATACTACTTCAATTACAAAGCCAGGAGTAACTTAAGAGTAAGGCAATATCCTATGTGAACATAGCTATTATTTTTACTGGGTATGATGATTCTA